GGTGGGGCGGTAGGGTGTGTGTATGGAAGGTGTGGGGGGAGATTAGGGGTGTAGCGGGAGGAGAGAGGAGTGGGGGGTGGGGAGGGGGAGAGGGTTTGGTTTAAGGGCGCATGCAGGAAGAGGAGAAAGGGGAGGTATGTGTATGTGTGTGTGGGCGGGGGGGGGAGGTATGTGTATGTGTGTGTGGGCGGGGGGGGGAGGTATGTGGCAGTGTGTTGTCTGGGCCGGGCGACGACGGAAAGGGAGTTTGGAGGTAGTGGGTTTCGGTGGGTGGAGGTGCTGTTGGAGGTCCGGCTCCCGCTCCCGCCGTCCGCATCATCCGCGGAACCCCCTCACCCCCGCTACGGACCATCACGAACTCTTCCCCGCCTGTCCAACTCCACTCCCCCGCCGAGCACACCAACCACCTCCATGGCCCACCTCGCGGTGTGCACTGAGGTCACAACTCTCCTCCCCCCCTCCCTCCCTCCCCCTTGTCCCCCCCTCCCCCTTGTCCCCCCCCTTCCCCTTTGTCCCCCCCACTGCCCACTACCCACCTCGGGTGTGATCATGAAGTTCAGCAATGTGACCTTCACGGACACCTCCGGCAGGTAGTGCGGGTTACGCAGCTTGGTGGTCATGTAGAACTTGAACGACTCGCTGTACTCGATGGTGGCATCCCCCAGCCGGATGCACAGCCCGCCGCCCTGCCTGAACACGGACTTGAGCAGCAAGGGCTCCAGGGTGGGGTCCAGCTCCTCGCCAATGTTTTCCAACAGCACGGGGGTACCGAATTGAATGGCATTCTCCAGACGACGAATGTAGTCGCCGTCGGACAGCTTCATGACCTGGGCGGGGGGGGAGAGGAGGAGGAAGAGGAGTGCAGAGGGAAGCAGAGGCAGAGGAATGTGTGCGGGAGTTTTGGGGGGAAGGAAAATCGGGAAGTGGGAACCGGTAATAAGGAAACGGATGGCCCGCAAGGCACACATACACGCACACATACACGCACACACACATACACGTACACATACACATACACAGACACATACACACGTACACGTGCACATCTACACACCTCCAGTTTATTTTTCTTCTCCATGTTCTTGATCCACTTGTTGGCCTGGCCCTGCGGGTCGATGAGCAGCGGCCAGCGTCTAGCCTTGGACACGATGATGCCGTTGTCAATGGAGAAGGAGTCATTGGGCAGCCCGTCGATGGTCCAGTCGCGGATCTTGACAGGCTCACCGAGCACCGTGACCAGCCTGGGAGCCATGGGGGTGGGGTAGGGTGGTAGTGGGTGGGGGCGGGGTTGGGTGGGTTGGGGGAGAGGAAGAGATGAGCTAAAGGGGGTGGTAATGCGTACCCCATGCAAGGTCCACATCCATCGCAGACGACAACAAAAAAGTAAAGGGACACAAGGGGACGAGGTCCTCCAGCGAGGGGGCACACAGCGAGGGGCGTAGACACCAGGGCGCAGGGCCGCACATACATACATACACACGCCCCACACGTCCAGCGCGTGAAAACGCCTGGCAGCCATGAGGGGGTCCGAGGGCGAGGAGGGCATGTGGATGTGTGCTGCACGTGGCCCGGCCGTTGCCGCTCTTTTCACCTTCCCCCTCCCCCTCCCCCCTTTCCCCCTCCTCCTTCCCCCTCGCTTCCCCCTTCCCCTTACTTGAAGTGTTCAGAGCAGGGTATGTGTCTCTCCCTGCACAGCGCCACCCAGCTGCTGCTGGCCCTCTCCCGGTAGGCGGCAGTGAAGGCACCCAGGTAGGCGATGAACCCGGAGGCCAGCAGAACATCACCCGTCAGGTTCACGTAGTCACCACCCAGCTTGGCGGCGACCTGGTAGCACCACCACCGCCACCACCACCGCCACCACCGGGACAGGGGGGAGGGTCATTCATTCATTACGGATGGGGCATGCAGGTAGGGTTATCGAGTTGGGGTTGTGGGGGTTGTGGGGAGTGAGGGGCGGGGAGGGGCGGGGAGGGAAGGGGGGTGACGGGGAAGGTGAGGAAGTGGATGTGGCCATGAGGGGTTTCAGGGTTGCACAATCGGTGGTGGTGACACAGGGTGCGAGGTGCAGCCCAGGGAGGGGGGGATGTCGCCGGGGGCCATGTCCCCACCCGCACACATCTCACCTTCTCCGGCGCCTACTGAGCCTACTCCTCTCCATCACCCGCGAACGCCTCCCTGTCTGTTTTGGTCCCTTGCTTGGACCTTCCCCCGTCTGTCCGTCTGTCTGTCCGTCTGTCTGTCCGTCCGTCCGTCCGGTTCTCCTAGGTACGCATGTACCCACATTCACACACCCCCGCCTGGGCCCCTCCGTACCTCCGTCCAGCGGCTCTTCTCTCCCCCCAGTCCGCCAATCAGCTTGGTTGCGCGGTCCAACTTCTTCTCACATAAGTCCACCTCAGCTTCCAGTTGCGCCTGGGTGTGGGGGGAGGTGGGTGGCGGGAGGTGGGTGGCGGGAGGTGGGTGGCGGGAGGTGGGTGGCGGACGCATGCGTAAATTACGGACCGATGTACTTTGGATTTATATTTCGTTTTCATTCCATGTTCTTCCGCTTTCCCGCAGGCAAGAAGCGCGCGCGCATTCATACACAAACCCTTACGGGCCCCCCCCCCACACACACCCATATCGTTATCCGCCGCGCGCACGTATGTATGTATATCACCTTTCTCCGCTGCATCTCCGCCAGCTTCGCGTTGAGCCCCGCCAGCTTCGCTTCCACATTTGCCAGCTCCGCCTTCTTCTCATTGAGGCCCACCATCAGCTCGCTGTACTCCGCCTCCGCCTCAGCCAACTTGGCCTTCTTGGGGGCGACAACCTGAGGAACAACAACAGCGGTAGCAACAACAGCAATAACAGCAATAACAGTAACAGTAGTAGCAATAGAAGTATCATTAGCAGCAACAGCCGTGAGCAGCAGCATATCACGATGCAGCCACAGAGCTAAAATAGGCTTGATACCCCGCCAGGAGGCCAGGAGGGTGGCCTGCAGGAGAGTGGGTACCACCCGCCAACATCCCCCTAACAAACCAACCCCATCCCACCTGCCATTCATATCCCCACGCCACGCCATACACGCAGGGAAAACACAGGCGGGGAAAACACACCTTAGCCACCCTGTCGTACGCTTCCATGGCACGAACCCAGCAACAAAGGCCATACGCAGCCGCGGAAGCCTTTTTCACAACCGCCGGGTCGAAGTCGTCCATGTCTAGGTACGGCCGTACGGCGGCGATAATAGGCGGCGGGATGTTGTCCTTGTCGTACGCCCTCAGGGTGTCCAGGAACTTGGTGTCCGCCAGCAAGCCCTGGGCGGAAGGGTGAGGGCGGGGGTTTGGTGGGGGGGGGAGAAAAACACCAACTCATGTGAGACAGCTTGGCGGGGGGGGGCGGAAAGAAGGAGGGGAGGAGCCATATCATTACTTTTAGCACCGTGATGTCGATGTACGTGCGCACGTGCTTTGTTGAAGCTATACGGTGGTCACGTGACGCGAGGGACGAGGGGGGAGGGTGTTATTACCGCATTGCTACAGCCCTCGTGGCCCCAGGGGGCCCTATGGGGGGAGCTGTTCCCACCTGCGACGGGCCCCAGTAGTCGTTGATCTTCCGAGCCGGGTTGGCGGGGTCGTTGACCTGCAGAGCGGTGAGGGGGGGGGGACGAAGTGGGCGCTCGCTTATGGTGGTGGTGGCGGTAGTATTAGTATTATCAATAGTATTAGCATTATCAGAAGTATTAGTAGTATCAGTAGTATTAGTAGTAATATAATAATATTGTTAGTAGTAATCGTGCTGATGCCATTCCTGCAGTTCCCCATTGCATGGTGTCGGCTACCGCCTCATAACAAACCGCCTTCTCACATTCCAGCAATACACACACACACACACACACACACACACGGCCCAGTGCTCGACCCTAGGGATCCCCCCACGGATCCGCGTGCCGCCCCCTAACCACGCAGACCGGCCCCTAAGCCTCTCCCCCTCACCTTATTTGGCTTGATGCTGAGCATCTGGCACACCGCCTCCATCACCACCTTCACAGCTTTTGGCGGGTTCTTCATTGCCTTGACCTCCGTGATGTCGGCCTTTGTCAGCGTGTCAAGAGCCTATACACACACATACGCACACGCACGCACATATATACACACAGAGCATTAGGGGAGCCCTCCATGAAAGCGTTAGAAGCCGGAGATGAGGGACGTTAAGCAGGAGAGACGGACGGACGGACGCTCATGCAGCTATCCTATCCAATCCTATCCCCTCCTACATGCTACCGAGGTCTGCACCCCCACCAGATGTTTCCAAGCACCCACAACCCCGCCATGGACCGCCCGTTGACACCCGGTCCCGCCCACTACACGAACACTACACACACGGGCACCACACACCTTGAGCGCGCTCTCCAGCAGCGGCAGCGCCACCGCCAGGTCCGCCTCGCACTCGTCCTTGATGGCCTTGGCGGATGCGGCCTTCTCATTGGCCACCGCCTCCTCGCCCACCACCACCACCTTCTTGGCCTCAGCCTCCTGAGTCTGACGATCCACAATCTGGGGAGGTTGGGCAGAGCGAGGAGTGAAGAGGAGGCCACTACCATGGTTTATAGGAACGACGAAAAGGTCGGCCGCACACCGTGCCATACGTAGCAGCTGAGCTAATTAGGAACCGGCGCAGGGAAGACCGTGACAGCCATCAGCGGCCACCACACCGCCATCCAACACCACCAGCTGGGGCAGGCACGTCATCCACGGCCAGGGCTGCACTCCACGGCTCGAAATCCACAACGGACCTTAGCCACTCCCCACCCACCACCACCACCCCTCCCTCTCTCCACCCACCCCCAAACACACACACACACTCCGCCCGCACCCCTGCACCCCACGTGCGTACCTTGAGCGTTTCCTCCACCTCCTTGCCGGTCTCTATGAGCTTGGGTTGCAGCGCAATGAGCTCCTCCTTCATGACCCCGATGTCGTGTTCCGCGGACAGGAGCTTCTCCAACCCCACCTCGTAGCGCCGCTTCAGACCGTGAACCTACACGGACACCAGGACAGACAGACAGACAGACAGGAGGACAGGCACCGAAGGACACCGCCATTCCCCCAGTCAACATCATGGCAGGCAGGTAGCTCATGCAGCCCCAAGCTCCCGCCCTCCCATCCATTCCATTCTACCCGTATCCTTGCCCCCGTCCCCTTCCCCCACTCCTTTCACCTGTATGCTTGTTGACCCTTTGCTTTTCTGTG